AGAAACGAGACACTCCATCTTAGTCCTCCGGAGTGACATGTGCATTATGATTATTAATCGATGACAAATTTAGGATAGATGTAAAGGTCTATGGGCCACAGCATCCACTTACCATCAGGTGGACTGTGTGCTACTTTGTCAACCTTATTCTATAAAAAAACGCAAACGGACCGATATTGTTTTGATGCTTACGTTGAAAGCTTCTGCTAATTCAGCTGTAGATTGAGTATCAGCTTCCACAATTGCTATTAATTTGTAAACCAAAATTTTCGGTCGACCACGGATTCAAGATTTTTCAAGGTCGAGATTTTATTTATTTATTTATTAGGATTACCAACAGAAATTACAACAGTAATACAAAGATCATTTTCATACATATTAAGCACATTTATAATTGTATTTCTTTTTATAGGTAATCACAAGTTGATTGTAGTGAAAGGATTATAAGGAAAAAAAATCTTGAATTGATTAAATAAATTATTAAAAAGAAATAGAATTATTTAACAATATTATAGATAACTTTATTATCATATTAAATTTGATTACACACATTATAGAAATCAAAAACAATTCCAATATTATACTTCTTTTACTTTTAATTAATTGATTCATTATTTTTAAAGAAATTGATTAATTTTGATTTGAAGGTGGATAAAAACTATCGCAAGTAATATCGAGGCCAGAAATCTTCGAGGACAGTTCGTTATAAGTGCGAGCCAGTCTGGCTAGAGGGGAATACTTTCCCAAATTAGATCTATAAAGAGATACATTGAAAAAGGCTTGCGGTTTCCTAGGCAGACTTGATGGCACTTTAAAGTTAAATAATTGAACTATCGCTGGACAATCAACACTATTATTGAGCGTTGTGTATAGGAATATCATGTCTGAGATACTGGAAATATCATGTCTGAGATTTCCAGAATTGAAGTAAGTAAACCAAGGTGGTGTGTTCGTTTATACTATTCGCTGCGTAAACGTCGTTGATGTTGCATGCCTCTTGTACTGCGTTGCTGCCATGACTTTATTTTTATTTTAATAAGGATAACAACAGCGTTATCACTAAATACAATTTCAAATTTACTTCAAGTATTCCAATAATAGTTATCCACATATTATATATAAAGGTAAGCTAGGTACAATTATAATGAATAAAGACGATGGAAATTAAACAATTTAAAACAACTTACAAACAGCTAACAAGCTTAAAATAACTAATAAAATAACAGTAATAAAATTAAGTCGTTTTAGGTTTACTAACACTAAGATATTATGTCTTACTAACAAATTGATATGTAATTTACTTTTCGAGTTAATTTTATAAATCATTTATTTATATCATGGCAAAATATATTCTATATATCATTACATATATACATACAAGTATACGTACACACCAATGTGCATAAATATTTAAAAAAATATAAATAGCTCACTTATTATTTAAACATAACTACCTAAAGTAAGTGATTCTTCATAATGTAGCTTACCGGCATCCCGCGTTTACAAATAAAGGTAAATTAAACAACAGAAATTCTGTTTAATATGCATGTACGTACCTTGTTTCTAAAATCACTTTAACTGCCTACGAGAGATCGATGGTATCAAATGTTTTGTGTACTCATATTCCATAATTAGTAATTACTAATTACTCAAATTTTTAACGTATCCCTGATGACAAAAAGATTGAAATGAAATGAAAACATAACACCAATCAATAAGCAAATGACTAATTAAAAAAAAGAATTCCATGTTTTTAAAATAAAATTAATTTGAAATTAGAATTCTTAGCCAAGCAAAAATTATTTTGATTTTAAATGGCCAGTACTGCAGAACGGCAATTTCATAGGGAAAGACCTATATTTCTAGTAAAATTCCCAGACATTGTAGTTGTAGTCTTGCCCGTGTATACCGATTTTAATGGTGATCGGTTGTACGGTATGGAAGTCGGTGAGCTGCAGCACCATCAGCATGTGAGCTACAACAAAGTGGATGACATAAAAACTTCCATGACAAAATACATTATTTATGTGTCAATATCGGTGATCGGTTAAACAGTGTCGAAGTCTACAAATCTCAAACGTAATAAAATTATTTTGATAAAACTACTTTTACGAACAAATTTAATAAACTTTTTAATAAGATTTTACCGCACTCAATTTAATTCATGTTTATTTCTATCTTTCGACGTTTAGATTGCTTTGCAGCGCCCATGGTCACGGAAGGGACTGAATTATATATATATATATATATATATATATATATATATATATATATATATATATATATATATATATATATATATATATATATTATGTATTTACATGTATTATAAATACATATAATATAATACATTTTCATAAATGTATTGAGAGGTCAAACTTAATATGTTAATTTTCTTAAATTTTGGTGAGGTAAAAAAATCTTGATTTCTCTTATGGCCGGCCCTCTTCTATAAAACAAATAAAATTTTAGTGTCAGTCGTTAGTTGCCCATAACAAAATATCATACGACAATATGCTATGGGAATAACTAAAGTAAACTAGTCTAGCTGTTTCAACACTGGTAAGAATTCTAGTATTTTAACAGCATATGCTGCAGAACTAAGTCTGCTTTCTAGTTTTGATGTATTGAAGATTCGCGTCTAGTGTGGTTTCAAGGAAAATGGTGGTTTGTAGTACTTAAATGTTTGAAATTTGGAGTTATGAATTTTTTTAGGCTAACATAAATTTAGTTTTAGTGCCATTGAAATGCAAATTGTTAACATTAAACCAAATTTACTGATTTAGATATACCATGATGATGATAATTCAATAGAAAACTTAAAATGTCAAATAATAATATGCCAAGAGAGCCTCATCACCACGTTTTATAAAGTCTGAATCATTTGTGTAAGATTCCACACCTCAACTTCAGCTTACACAGCCCGAAAAACACAAGCATCATTGAAGAATAATTTTAATGTGCTAATGAATAAATTATGTAGAGAATGATGGTACTAACTCTACGGATATAGCATACATGAAGGAGTGTGACAAACGAGCGCACAGTCCACTTGGCGCAGTAGATTCTGAGGCTCACAGACAACCTACCCTTATACTTGATTAAGAATCAAATTGCAGATACGTTGTCAGCCCTGCCTGCCTCGATGCCAAAAAGAAAGCTTTACATAGGCAAAAATAATACATTTCTTTTGTAAATGAGTATAAGAATATGGAAAAGAGTCCAGATTATTAGACAACATTACAACACGTCTTGTACGTGTAGTACCAAAGGTGAAAGGAAAACTACCAAAAACTGTAACAAATCACCAAACCGCATTATTGATAGACTTTTAATAAAAAACATAAAGTAATTAAAATGAATAACAAGTGGTAAGATTAAAAAATGACTTCAATATAAATAAAATAAGAATATCATCAATGTAGTCGAAGTCTATAATACGCATTATTAAGGATAACTCAAAAACTACTGCTCAGATCTTGATCATATGATTTATATGGGACCACGAAAAAAGCACCTCCCTAATTAAAAAAGAGTCATCAAAATCCTAGAAAAAAGTTCCGAGATAATACATATAAAAAACATACAACCGAATTGAGTAATTCCTCCTTTTTGAATTCGGTTTTCTGAATTCGGTGTTTATATTGGTAATTTTTTGAAGTACGCTTTTATTAAAAGCATTTTTACTCCATAAGACTAAGCAAAATCACAAATTTAACTTCTAGAATGTTGTCTACATAGTTACAATAAAAACTTAATTGTCTTAGAAGTAGAATTTTGTTTTAAAATTTAAACTGGACTTAAAAAATTGGAATAAAAAAATTTTGAGAATAAAAAAATGAAAATTTTCAACAGAAATAGGCAAACATAAATTATAAAAAATCATAAGCGTCTAATACAAAACCTCCCTCTTTCTTAAAAGCAGAAAAAATTAAAAACAAATTTACATAAACATAACAACTTACCTCCTCCTTCTAACGCACTTAAGGTTAGTATCCCGGAACATAGAACAAAATTTTTAATTCTTCCTTCACAGTTCAGGCTATGGTCCTCTAGAACGCCTTACCCGCTGAAGTCAAGCAAGTTACGAATAAGCTTTTGTTTAAAATATTGGTGCGACAACGTTATTTAGAGGTAAACAACAATATATATATATATACATATATATATATATATATATATATATATATATATATATATATATATATATATATATATATATATATATGATGTGTGTTTAATAAAATTCAAATGTTTTTTATAAGTTTTTTTTTTATTATTGTTGTTAATTTGCTCCTGTCAACATCTTATCCATCCATCCATCCATCTTACTCCATCTTTCGTAAATTTGACTGGTAGAGAATGCCATAGGGAGTTAAGTCAGCCCTTTGTAATAAACGCTACTTGTTATAATAAAGGATAAATAAATAAAGAATTAACATAATATTACATGGGAATTACAGTAACCGAATAATAGAGAGTGTTAAAATACAAATTGCATTGGTTTACATAATGCTTGTTATGAAGTTTTAGACAGCACTAAGCTCTAGCTCTAATGCACTGTGTCCGATTTTTCATCAGATTAACAATTTCGTAATGCACGCTGATAACTAAGATCATCTGTCCGACGGTCGCCCTCAATAAGTAGTGATAGCACCTGATGCTGTTATGTGATAATGCACAATCGTTCAGAAAGAGGGGGATACAATGTTTAAATAAAAGAAAAAGCATCGGCGCCAGGCGGCGAGAGTGATAGCGACAGCGCGAACGACGCACGTTCAGAAACGCGCGAGAAAGTTTTACTAAGTACAAATTTGGCGCTAAACAAGACGCTGTTAAAAAGACACCATTTTTAGGGCTAAAATACATGCTTGTATAACATACAGAATTACCATAAAATAAATTATTTAGACAATCGAGTGACACTGCTTTATTTAATTGTTAGTGATTGGTGAAATAGGTGTGTGTTAGTGACTTTCGCCGTTTAACAGTCGCGTAGGATGAGTAACACACGCAAATTAAAGGTGAGATTCGTCAATTATCATCAGATATAAATTTTGATTCAATACAACCATTAACTGCAGTTGTATATTTATAATTTAAGATGGTAATGAATTTTATTTTCTATCAATACTTTCTTTTTACCATAAATGACATGTTTTTTTCGTGCAAACTTAATTACATCGTTACAATTCCATGTACTTAAATATATATATATATAAAATTTACTGTAATAGGTTATCTTGGGAGTGAAATTAGTAAGAAGGATCAATATTAGAAGATAAAAGTTTTGACTTAATCTTTGTTTTTATTTTGAATAAGAATAATTTTAGGGAATTTCTCTAATCTTCCTGTGTAAGTCCATCAGTATGAGTGTAACAAAGTTCTCGAAACATCGTGAATATAAAACAAGTCGAAATTAAAAGCCGAAAATACCTATTTTTATTTAATGCGTAGTATTGGCAAAAGTAAAAGAAGAGATCTTATAATTGACGGCTCCGTGACGCAGTGGCTTAGCAGTGAGTGGCTGCGCTGGGGGCCGCGGATTCGAATCCCGCACAGAGCAAGCATTTGTATGGCCTACAAATAATTGTTCCGGGCCTGAATATTTGTCCTTGTACAATTTATGTTCGTAAACTGCCTCCACGATACAGGAGGAAATCCTAGTGTATATATATTAATAAATAATATACATATAGTAATAAATAAATAAAATAAAAAATAAAAATAAATAATATCATGGCATTCTATTTTAGACTTCAGAGACGACAACGCAGCTGTATGTTGGTTCTTAATAAAGAATAGGTATGTTTTGATGAGTCAGAGTCAGAGCCGGAGCATCTACTTATTAACAAGTAGACAACGCGCTCAGTTATCCTCCTTACTTATATGAAAAGAGATGTTTCATTATAATTTTTATCTATCTTTTATCTATTCTTATACGTCCAATGCAGAGCACAGACCTCTCATGTCAGAGAGAGACATAGATTAATTTGTCTGTAATGCTGCTCCAGTTAAAACTTTTAATCTGCCTATTTTCAATATCGTTATTTGCGGGATATCGCGTATTGAAATTGATATTTATCAAAGTTTAAATAAATATTAGCAAATTCACTTTCAATTTAATTTCACAATTATTGTAATAGAATTGATTAATCAAAAATTTTGTTTTATCATCCAAAAAATAACATCCCTAGGAGTGTCTTTCGTTAGTTTGGCGAATGGCACTCCTAGATATAGTATATCTCTTTTAAAAAATTATAGTTATGCAACTATAAGATATTTCTCCATTGAGCCTACAGATTCATAAATAATAAAAAATAATTGATTCGAGTGAATTAGCTTTAGACGGTGATGGGCAAACTAAACTATATAATAACAATATAGTTAATAACTATATAATAATACTATAGCTCCTGCTGTATTGTAAGATCTGATGAAACTTCTTCATTGCTGATGTTTGTTTCAATTCCAACTACTTCTCCAGCCAAAATAGAAAGAGGTACATCGACATCTTTGCCATCTTGTCTATAACTTAAAACAAGGATCTACAGCCTCATAATAAACTCCTAAATTGTTTACGAAGCACTTTTCTTGCCTGCTGCTAGTATTTTGAATATTAATGAAAAGTGCAGTGAAATTTGCTTGTAGTTGTGAAATACGTCGGCACAAAGATAAAGCTAACGATTAATTAATGTCTTTCAGTTTCTTTGTCGTAAATTTAAGTGTGGTTTTAGTCGTAACAGGATTTTCATTTTGACGACAAAGAACTTCGATAGCAAGTTTCTTCATCGGCTTCAAGATAGTTTCCAGATTTACACGGATCTCGGAATACCAAGATCCCGTAGTACCTACGAGGGTATGAAATTACTTACCCAAGTTTTTGTTAGCGCACTTCATGCGCCATATTTTCTATCTCTTAGACCTGAAGATTTCATCTTGATGTTTTTCATCACCGCTGAGCACACACATTAGTGCAGAAATTTATTTGCATTCCATACTGTGACATGATATTCCCGAACGAAAACTCAGACTTCACAAATGATTGAATTATGAATTCAATCCTATGAAATCATCCTATAAACAGTCTATAAAATTCTGGCTTGGCTGGCACCGCAGTATTTTATTTACTTGATTTTATTATGGCGACGTTACTGCGCATATCCTGTTTTATTTCCCTCAGTCGCCTTCTTTAACACCCGCGAGACGATATAAGATAGTGAAAGAAAATTGCAACACCGCCACTACCCTGAATACTACCTAGAACTATAAACTAGGTAATAGTAATAAATCTGTCCGAATAAATTAATTAATTTCAGATTACTGTACCTTAAAACAATATCAATAAAAAATAAAAATAAAAAAGCGATTAAAAAAGAAGAAAAACACGCTTATAAAGGAGTTAACGACTTTATCTCAGATACATTTTAGTTTATTTAAAATTCAACGCTGTTCTGAAGTGGTTTGAAATTCTAGAGTTAATCGGTCAACACCGTATAAAGTAGTATTGATTTTAAAATCTGTGTGCGAGATAAAAGGAGCACGAACGTGTTTTGAATAGTTGTGGCACAGAGGGTAAGTGAATAAATCAGGTTCAAATTCAACAAAGAACACAGAAATTGTCTTTGATATCGACCGTACATACTCATTAAACTTGAACACAGTGAGTGTACTGCTAACTGGAAACAGAAGTTGTTAAGTTGGTCGTACCCAGACAGACTACTAGTCCGCGAAAGAGCCCTGTCATCTCATCAACCCTTTCACCGCCACTACACTGTAAAAGAATATCCACTACCCCATATCATCCCGTGGGTGTCGTAAGAGGCGACAGAGAGAAACGAATCAGGAAATGAGCAGCAGCATCTTCCTAATAACGATTCAAAATAAAAAAAATACAGTTGCCAACGCGATTTCCAAGCTTGGCAACTATGGCAAAATCGTCCCTATGAGGCACGAGTCCCTACGAGGAGTAGGCCGTTGTTCAGCTGGAATAAAGGAACGGAAACGGTTTTCGTCGGGGCCATTATAACTCAACATCACGTTATCGTCACATAACTTCTTGTTTAATAAGATAAAGTTACAGCATAGGTATATACGAGTACGTCTATGACACAGGCCTCATCTTATTTCGGAGGTTTGTAGAGGTAGTCCTCCAAATATTTTATTTCTCAGACATACAGATTTCCTCACGATATTTTTCTTCACGGTCGCCGAACATGTGATAAATTAAACAACAAGAAAAAAAATTGTTTAATTTTTTTTTCCTGGTGTTGTTTGTCTTCTACTTCACACTCTTGACTCCACTGAATATCAGCATTCAGTATTACGAATTAATATATAGTGTTTTTGTTACGATGTAAAACATTTTTTTTCTGTTTTAATTTTATTTTCCTTTGTTATATAAAAAAAACTTATTTATTTCGTTCTTTCTAAATTAACTTTTCAAATATCTACTAACAGTTTTATTAGTAGAGCCTTAAATCGGGCCCGAGTTGCTCGCATACTGTGAAATTTATGGTGAGCGCTAAGCCCCTCAGCTAACATGGCTGCACCATATTATCCATATATTTTTAAACACTTTCATTTTCTATTATTATAAACATATATTCGCAGCTTATTACATATAGAGTTCCTTTTTTCTTATTTATAGACTTGTACTGTTGTACTTTTGCCATTGTCAAGTCATTTTCTCTATTCTACATTTTTTATTTATTGTCAAGTGTTAAGAAATAATACTTTAGAATAATCTGTTTCAAACTTTCATCAATATTCTTCACAAAATTTTCACATTGTGAGGCGTCGACGCATTGCGACACAGTTTTTGGGATATTTTTACTTTGACTTTTAAGTTTACGTTTTCTTTAAAATAATATTTCAATCATAAAACAGAATTTATCTGTGGATCAGTTTTCGCCTAAACTTCCTAAAAATTAAAACATTCTTTAAAAATATTTAAATTCCAATTCAAAACACCACTCTATTTATTTTTTCATCATTGATAACCTCACATGTAAAACATCAGTGAAATTTTAATTAGTTTAGCCCAGATATCAAGTCACCTAAAAAGAGAAATTAAAAGTTTTACCAATTCCTAATGATATCACTGAACGCACAATTAACTGTCGATTTTATATATTAAACGAATTTGGTGCTAACTTAGAAAGTGTACCATAGTAAAGTACGTTATTATAGGCTGATGATGAAGGGCATTTTAAAAGTTTTTTTAAATATATAAAATTGAAGAGACAAATGAACTTACCGGCCACTTGATGACAAGTGGTTATTACAACCCATGGACCTTGGCAACTAAATTCAAAACGTATTGCTACCTCTGAGAACTAAGATGAAATGCCTCACTCTCCGTAATTGTACTCGCTTTCTATACTCTTTGAAGAAACTTCACTAAGAAATAAAATATTCCGAGAAGATGTTAAGACCACCTACAAGCACAAGAGCAGTGCGACACTTTCTTGAAAACTCTCTTAGAAATGAGAGGTCTGTACCCAGCAGTGAGATGCATGTATACATCCCATGTTTCCCACGGGTGTAACGTATTTATACCCTTTAGACCAGATCTCAATATTGCAGGCATAGGCTATTTGGCGTCATGCCTACCCAAACGGATATCTAGGTAAAAAAAGGATCTAGAATTGTTCTTCCTCAAATCCACTGCTGGATATATCACCTTCTACTTACATGCTAAGATAAAAGATTTGCTACTATATACACAATCCTCTGTAAATACGCACGCCTTCGCACTGCTTCCTGACACCAGTGAGTGCTGTTTGTAATTTTCAAATTACTTATATAGTACCTTTTCTCGGTCGCCGAAATTTTGTTTTAATTAACATTTTTCATTAATATATATATTTACCGTAGCCTCTTTAGAGGAAAATTTAGTTCATCACCGTTATCGAAGATTTTTTAATTTTTTTTTTTAGGTTTACAACTATTATTCCTTACGAAGAACTTATAAAATAGAATAGAAGAATATGATCATTTTTATTCGATATAGATTGGAGTC